GTTGGAAGATGATGGTCATGGTTGTGAGAGTGAATATGATACTGAGAGTGATGATGACAATGATCTTGTGTTCATGGACTTGGATGAGGAGAGTGAGAAACTTTTGCCAGAGTCAGATAGACTCATTGTTACAACCAGGTCTGGTCGAACTGCTGGGTCTTGGAAATTAGCTTTTGCTGAATAGGTATGCACTAATAAAAATAGGTATCCACTTAAATGCTTTGATATAGACATATACTTGTCGAGTCACAAGTGAAAACTTTGTTTGGAGGTAAATGCAAACATCTATATTTTAATAGTTGTATTTAACAGCAATTCATTGGATAAGGTTGGGTAAAAAAAAACTGTGCCTTAGAAATGGTTGGGTAATTAAAAAAAAACAGGCAATTTTTATTTCTCTTCGGTGCCCTCCTGAGGCATAAATAATGAACGGTCCCTTAGATGGGCAAGCCCCCATGACGAGCCGGGTGAGCTGGTGAGGACCGTTGTCAGGGGTTGGAAACGCTGTGATGAAACGGGATTCAGGTGTAAGAGATAGCTGAAGGTATCCCTGTGATTGGTCGAGTTCTGTAAAAACTGTGGCTCCTTGCATCTTCTGTAGGATTTCATTTACGGTTAGAATTTGAATACGTCTTCGTTTGAGGGCTGTATTTGCTTTTCTCATGCATGTCGATAAATAAACGAACATCGCCACATTTGTTTGGAATGACAACAAGGGATGACAACCATGGTGTTGCACCTTTGATCTTTTCTATTATGCCTTGTTGGCGCATTTCTTCTAGCTTCTTGTTCACAACTTGTTTCACGCTATGTGGGATTCGTCGAGCTGACTGTGTTCTTTAGATGACCAGTTCCTGTGAATAATGGTTGGTGTTTCTGAATTAGTGCCTCGATTTCTGGTGGAATATCACCGTTTCTTGCCAGGTTGTGGACTTTGATTGTTAATATACTAAGTTCCGTGGATGTTTTGTAGCTGAGCGAACTCTGTGTTTCAGACTTGGTGACTTGAAACGTTTCGTTGGTCTTGTGCTGTTTACAGTGCACTGTGATGTAAAACTGCCCTTCCATCTCGGGTGGTGAGGTGCTTCCATACAGCAAAACTTTGGTCTTTGATTGTGATAGCTTGATGCTTTTATTCTTAGCTTGCTATTGTTTAAAAGTGCTGTTGTTAATTAGATTCACAGATGAACCTGAGTCAACGATTAGTCGGACTGGGATGTTTTCAATCTGAACTGTGACTGTGGATGCTTTTTTGAGTTTGTTATGTTGAAGATGAATTCTTCATCAGAATCTTCAGAAGATGACCTCGTTTCTTTTTGGAGCTGTCGAATTTTTGCTGGATCTTTTTTCGGGGTTTACAAACAATGCTTGGCGAAATGACCGATTTTCTGGCATTTGTGACAGGTTTTTCCGTGTGCGGGGCAATTTGTCTTGTCTCCTTCGTGTGCAAATTGTCCTCCACAATTCCGGAATTGTTTATTTGATGGTTTTCGTGGGTCATACTCATACTGTTGCTACTTGTGTTTACCTTGAGTGTGAGGATTATAATAACGGGGTCGTTGATGTTTTTGACGTTGGCTTTTTCGAATGGAGTATGCTTGATTCACCGTCGCTCCGGATTTGCTTTCTTGTGTGCGTTCGATCTTCTTGGAGTCAATAGCCGTCTTTTCCAATGTTTTTCCGTACGTTAAAAGAGCTTGGAGTGTCATAGTTTCGCGTAGAGCTTTACGACGTAATCTTGAATCAGTTGTTTTATGAATAATGTGCGTCTTGATTTCACGATCTTCGTCATGAAACTCGCAGGATTTTGCTTTTTCTCTTAATCGGCGGTAAAAGGCATTTAGTATCTCTCTTTGTTCTTGCTTCATTTCGCGAAACTCAAAGATAGCCATGTCTGTGTTGCTTGTAGGTTCGAGATTTGGTTAATTTGGACATGGCGGTTTCGTAATCGTCTCCGGTTTCAGGCAGTTTGTCGAAAATATCATTCGTTGTTTCGCCGACATAATTGAGAAGTAAACCGCGTTTTACTCTCGAATCAAATTCGCGTAAACTGATAAGTAATTTTTCAAATCGTTTGATCCATTTTCTCCAGCGTTGTCCCACTGTAGAGCAGTCTTTGGGGGGGTCAAACGGTGCAAAAGATGGTAAGCCGCTTCGAGGGGCTCCCGTGTTCAACGAACCAATTGCTTGCTGATTTGCCTGTAATTCTGGACTGCTTTCGTTTTGCTGAGACGTTTTAGCCTCTGTTTCTGGTTCAAGCGGTGGCATTCTTCTTTTCTTGTCGCCAAATATCGTAACTTGATGATTTATATCGATGTATTTTCTATTAAAGTTTTATTTAATGTTTCTACTCCTCTCTTACAATACTAATGTTATTTTCCCAATCCTTATCTTAATCATATGCATGCGCTGTTCACGTGTCCATCATTTCTAAATATACCTAATTGTTACTATACGACAATTAGTCTACCAGAATTAAGAAGGGAAAAAATTATATAATAGCTGCCATTTTTGTGCAAATTTGCATTTCATCCAATGCATAATACCCTTGAAGTTTCCAATCAACATTTCTGGTACTGTTCGCCGAGCTGCTTAAAAACGTTTTGGCAACTAGTCAACTTCGAACGATCATTTTAGTAAATGAGTAAATTTTTTTGAGTAAATTAATCTATACGTATAGGTTTGTTTTCGTGCATGATGCATTTTTTTCTGCACGATCCAGGATGTTCTATCAATTATTTCGTTCCATACAGCAGTTCAACCATATACGTAGGGAAAAAGTTTCATAATGCATGTACCAACGCTACGGCGATTTAATGATAGTAAACGTTGAAGACGGCTATGTATGTATGAAATGTACATAAGTATAAGTGCGACTCCAGTCATCTTTTAATATGATTAAACTTTGGAGCTTACCGTCAGCATTGCATTCTTCTTGTTCCGTATTTTGACCCAATTGCAAACAATGTCCTTTTTTCGAACATGTTCGATTTCGCTCTCTCGTTCCCTTTTCATCATCGCCGATGCAAGTACTCCACTCGCTCCAGGGCTGATAGGAACCTATATCAAAAGTAATGAGGTCTCGCCACATGCATAATTTCTTTTGCCTATCGAATTATGTGAATATTTTTAGCTAATTGATCGATATATAATGCTTGAAAGTTGATACTGCCTGATTACCTTATTATTATTCATAGAAAAAACCTACCACATGTTTCATTATTAAGAAAACCAGGTTTGATGCGACCTTCACAATCTGTGCACGATGAGTTGTCTCCTCCACAATCACCACAAAAATCAACTTTCTTCGTACTGTTTTCGACTCCATCGCAACCATAGAAAATACGCTTGGCAACTGCAAAACATCAAGTCTTTTCATAGTTTATTACATATAGTGTTACACTATATATATATATATATATATATATATATATATATATATATATATATATATATATATATATATATATATATATATATATGTATATATATATATATATATATATATATATATATATATATATATATATATATATATATATATATATATATATATATATATCTTAAGTTTCATAGATTAGAAATTTTAGCTCTGCAGCTTGTTTGAAGAAAACGAAAAAAAATATTTTCCTAATCTTCGCTAGCGTCATTTAGGATCGAAGAAAGAACAATCACCACATGCAAGGAAGGGTTAATATTAGCCCTGTTTACACTGTAGTCGATTTATCGGCACGGCACCGCTAATATGGGTACCCGCAGCTATTGAGGCTAATTAAATCTTTTTGAAATATGAAAAATTTGAAATATACACTCTCAAACTACATTGCACAAGTTAACGTTAGAAACAATTCTATATACTTTTTTAAAAATTAGCAACCACGAAACCTTGTGTTTATTTCGCTACCTGGACGCTTTTAACACCTACACCTTGAAGAATTCTCACAAATTTAAATCTCTAGAAAGTAGAATTTCTTAGCTGCATGTGAAGTTGCAAGAAAAATTGCCTGTGTAGCAGGCATGAAAATAAGCATATTAGTGGCAGACTAGTTAATAATTTATTATTTTCCTCACCAAGTTTTGACGCATTTTTTCTTTTCTGTATTTCATTAAAGGATTGCAACGTCGCCTCACCAATATCTTTTACCTGTTACAGCAATATCGAACAAACATTCCTCATTTTCCCACATATACTCCTTGCTTTTTGCGCCAAAGTAGCATTGGAAAACAAGGATTTGTTTCGTCAAGAAAGACCGGAATAAAGTTGGGATTTGAAAAACTATCGTAACTTTTCCGACATGGTACGTAAAAGAGTCTTGTTCCTGTCCACAATCCCTGTATAAATTGAAGAGATATTTAATGACTTATACTTCTTTGGAAGTCATTTAGAATAACTTTTATAGGTACAATGAATGTTTCTTTAAAACACAGGGAAATTACAACAATATGTGGCATTGACCTCGACGACCGCTGACCTTAATGTGATTAAAATACTCCAAGAGTCGCAACTTTGTACGTTTTCAGAAAAGTGGATGGATGGAAGTGACATTAACACATTGATGAAATATAATTATATGTTTATAGATATATGATGACACGTTGATGATACAGTGATGGAGAAAAAGAAGTTCGTGTAAATAAAGACGAGGATGAGGCTAATAGCGAAAATCATTAGAGTTACGTATCCATATAATAGGTAGGTATCCCAGAAAACTGCCTTAAGAATTGAAACTTACATTTCTGGCCAAATTCATTGTGAATTGTTCGATAACTTGAATTTGTATCAATAAAACTGCCATTAGGCAATAAAAATTCCTGATCCTGTCATCGTTCCAAAATCCAAGAAGACCAGCAGTTTTCCCTAACATAAATTATGTAGAAAAGGGTAAATGTTCATCCGTTTTTGGATGTGACATGTTAAAAAAACCCATGAAGTTTTAGGAAACGCAGTGTTATAGAGAATTAACGAGGCTCAATTGTTTTAGGTATACATGCAGTGGGTGTTATGGAATAGAGGCAAAGTAAGCCATTTTACCAATTTGATTCTCGTAAGTAAACTCTATACACAATGTAGCAATATCATCTGCTTTTAACGCTAAAAGAGACTGTGCATTTTGAACCCGGAGACTCAGGTTGCGCCGACAACTTGTATATGCCCACACATAACCACATTCTTCAGACGAAGGCATTGGGATTAATTGTGTAATATCTTTTAGTCTACATAATGAGAGAGGGCAATGAACCAGAAATTTAGTCACTACATCCCGGGAACGTTTTTCGTTTAAAATGTAAACACCCCTAACCCATATCCATACAATTTACTAAAAGTGAACTAATTATTACCTTTGAATCTTAATGGTACTGAAATTTGATATGTAAGAAAATCTTCTACAGATGTCACCACAATAGCCACTCCTGCTGTGGAGTATGTTCTAAATATTGACTCATTTTGTTTAACAATAAAGACTCCAGTGAAGTCTAATCTTGTTTGTTCGTCAAATTCGACCCGTTCACCATTGACTAACACGTCTATGCTGCGCCGGTTGTTGAACTCGAACTAAATGAAGTCAAAATATTTTCTCGAAAAAGTGATAAAAGATAATAAATCGTGGATAAAATTAAAAAAATAATGAATATTTAAAAAGCATTATTCCCTTACGAGTGTCAATAACTCTGCCGGTGGGAGACAATGTTGACCAATCAGCACGTTTGTTTTATTTTTTTCTTTACGGATTGCTCCATACAAATATTCGGTATATAGGGATTACTTCATGGTTGGCGAATACGTACGATTTTATGCACGAGTTGTGAAGGATTGCAAAACGAACGAGTGAGCGTAGTGAACGAATGAGCTTGCGATCCTTAACAACGAGTTCAAAATGAAAATCATACAAACGGGCCAACCATGAAGTAATTTGTTTATTAAATGTGTATTAAGATCAATTTAATTGACAACGACACGCTTTTAATATACAAAAACACAGCGAGCAACAAAAATTGAAATTTTATGTATAACACATACTTATTACCGTCCAGCTTCTTTTTAATTTTTTTTAATAGAAGTTAGATATTCCTTCCGAAATATTTGAGAATGTGCTGAATGTAAAAATATCTTGAATATGAGAATTATTTTTTATATTTCACTCCTATATTTCGACGGCATCTTCAAAGAGAATGTAAACAAATTGCCGCCAAAATGACATACGACAATTTTTCACGTGTGAAGAATATCGTACGGAAGAATATTTTACGTATAGCATTTTATCATAGTTAAAAACATCGTACGTCCAGTAAAATTGAATGAAATTAATTAACACACTGAAAACGATTTTTATTTCATCATTCTGCTGTGCATAAATCTCTGTACACATATAATAAAAATGAATATTCGTTATTCACTAGAAGTAATAAATATACCGTAAACACTCAAGTCCATCCATCGCATGCAAAATAGAAATTGTTAAGGATAAGTTTGCAAGAAGGGGGGGGGGGAAGATAACGACCAATCTGCAGACAAAATTGCAACAAACGGTCTAATTAGTTGACATAATTTCACAATAAAGCAAAATAATCATGGCGTAGTACATTTTACTTAACTTTACTTTTGTTTTTAGAACCCTTCGTAATTAATAGTAACCAGTCTACTAAACTTGCGAAGAAGAAGAAAATCGTGTTTCGATCTCATAATTGTAACACTAGTGTGCACAAACCTGCACAGTATCACTCGTTACTCCCTTGATGACAAATGCTGTGAGGGCTGTTGCTCTTGTTGTTCTTCCTTTGTTATCAAGTATGGGTACCATTCTTCCTTGAAACTCGAGTTCCGAACCATTGCTGACTTTGAGAAGGACGTATTCACCATAACCGTTGAATGTGTAGAACGTTCCGTCAAATGTGGATAAATGAGGATCACCTCTTGTGCCAGCTATATATTCGCAACAAAATTCACAAAATCTTCAGTCATTAAATTTTCCGGCGACCGCAATTTATCACATGCATGACATCTCAATTCGTGTTTGGGTCTAGTGCTCTGTGAACAATGTTCAGTTATAAGTGGAAGAAATCTTGCTTTGGCTTCGAAAAATTCGTCATCAAAATTACCCGGCACCCTGTTTTTCGGTGAATGATTTTAAATTATTTTCAATATATATAGGGCACGATACTTAACAATATACTTACCAGTTGGTTGAGGTATGAATCTTGAACCATCATCAGAGGGTCTTGCATCATAGTATTTACCACAGTTGTCGAAAACAGAAAATACACAGCATGCGAACCAAGGTAGCACATCTCGTCCTAAATGGCCCAGTACACTTCTTTCTGGGGAAACAATGTCAAATGTACCGCCGCCAGGAGGTCCAACCAAGAGTGAATCACCTTTATAACAACATTGTTGACCTGAACCTGATGCACTAAAAGAAAAATGTTATTTTATAATAAACATGGAATGAATAGCTATTATTAATATGTCAAGCCAATATAACTTATAATTATTAGCTTGAGTATATTGATATAAAATTAATTGCGTTTTAATTGCTAAATTTTTAGCAATAATGCACAGCTATGTAGGATAAAAAATCACATGCATGGCGAATGGCGGCAAGTAACGCAATATAGAGATATTTGCAAAGCGAATAGGCGAATGTCTCACAAATTCATCAACTTGACGCACACTCAAATTGATTAGAAAAATGTAGTAACCACTCAATCCTCGTTATAAACTATAGACTGTAAATTGTTTCTGTTTAACTGAATTTTAGAAAAGTCCAGCGCAAAAGAACATTCCAAAACTAATAAATAGTGAAATTTGTTGCAAAATGTTAAATTTTGGGGCGTTGACTAAATTTTCATATTCTTTTGCATTACGCACGAAAAAACCTTACCACTTTGCAAAATTAGTATAAGGATTTTGGCATGCAATATTTCATACGTATAATTATATTACGTGCGTGCGCGTTTGAATCGATAGAACTGCAGTGTTATAGGTTATTTCTGGACAGTACTGTTAAAACAATTGTATGACACCTTTTTGAATTAATGCATCAATTTCGTGAGACTGGTTTTGATTGAGAAATAATTTATTTTTAAACGTAAATGTGTTTAAAAAGGAAGAAATTTCGCTAAGCATTGTAGTATTAAAACCAACTTAATTGTACATGATATAGGATACTTATGTAACATATACGGTAAGTCATCAGCAGAAACGAGTACTATAACATTAAGTAATAATTGCTTCAGGCTTGTGGATTTTGCTTGCATGCATGTATTTCTAGTTATCAAATCACTCAAATGAGCCGATAGTTGATGCTGTCGTAAGCAAATAAATTATATTATATAAAAGTGAAGTAAACATCTCCCCATGTATAAAAGGTTTAATTCTTATTGATGTAAGGACTGCTGAATGTCGAATCTTGTATGTTTCTCGAATATTTATGCAATGACTGCAGTTGACTCTATATATTACCAAAATGATTATTCCACATTTCATTTTGATTTATAATGTACGAAACGTTTAAATTAGTTTGCAAGATGACAGTTAAGTTGCTGGCGTTCTCGATGGAATACATTTTAATTTTAAACTTTTTGTCTTAGCCGATTAGCAAGTAATGATACCTGTTTCTATCGTCTTCACTCTAAAATTTCGGGAACGCGCGCACAAATACTAGGTAGTGAACGTGCAGCAACGTTCATCAGATAAAATTTAGACCATTGCATTCCGCTGTGTTTTTTCACAACACCTGGGTGAAATTCCTAATCCCCAGCAGAGTTAGTACCCTCGCCGCACCTTCTCGGGTATTATGCTCCCCGCTCTTGCTCGTACCTAGCTTCCTTGAGCGGAAACAAGACGTACTTCCAGGATGAAAAAGCCGCTGAGAAAACCTGCTTCATCAGGTTTGAATCGATCGTCAAATTCTATCTGTTCAACCCTGGAAGGACATGGAGGTAACTCATCTACAAATTTAATAATTGTAATTATTATAAAGTATCCGATCGTAAATTTGTACCGCTTTCGGTTATTAATACAAACAATGAAATTAATTATTCGGAAGATAAGCTAGTTTGCATAATTATGTATGAAAGTCGTCAAATTTTTTGTTTATACTGCATGATCTTGTACAAAAATTAAACGTTGCGGAATTTCGCAAAAATCGTCAGTCTCACACAAAAGATTATGCATTCTTACATTGTTCTATATTTTACTGAAACATTATTAAAACCGCCGCCATATATTTAGTCTTAATTGTCTAAATATTTGTCCTGCCGTATCTCCAAAGGAAATAATGAATTGTTTTGTTATTTAGCAATAACATGCGATTGCATCATTTTCTTACTTAATGAGCAGGGATTCCATGCAGGTTAATTAAGCAAACCCTAGGAAATTTTGTTCAACTATGTGAAGCAAGCTAGCTAGCTATACAAGGTGTATCAAAAGAAAGGTAATCCAACTTTGGTGCGCTATTGTACGTGAACTATACTCATTCTATTAACGAATTTTTTCAACATTCGGAAAGGTTAGGCTTTTAACTATCGAGTGACATCTTTTTGATACCAAATGGTGAAAAAAATGAACAAATAGGAGGCTAATAAAAAGTGTTAGTCAAATTTTCACCTCTGAGAGTTGGGACTAAAACCATTAATTAACTGTCTTTGCGACTTAATTGAAGAATTTGCTTTGAATAAACTATGCGGTATTAAGTAGGAAAATCAACAGGAGAAATTCTAAGCAATGCGCATAAAATCAGTGCAAGCTGTGACATTTTGTGATATTTTTTTTTTGTTATACACTGCTTTAATTAGGCTCAAAGGGGAAAATATGCGATTGTGACTAACATTTTTTATCAGCCTCGTATGTGCTCATTTTTTCACCATTTGGTATTACAAAATGTCATCCGATAGTTAAAAGCCTGATCTTTCCGAATGTGAAAAAAAAATGTTCATAGACTGAGTAGTTCACGTACAATAGCGTGCTGAAGATGGATTACCTTTTTTTATACACCCTGTATATACCTAAAAAGATTAATTCGTAAATGTGGAGAAATAGAATATTTGCTAATATGAGTATAATTGTACTTTTTATACCTCGCAATCTTTTGTTTTTATCCCTGTTTTGAAATCCATGCCAAGTTCTGCAGTACACCTCATTTGCCAGCCAAGAAGTTATTAGAAATGGTAAACTAAAGCTTCTTGCAACAAACTTAAAAACTTTCCCCAAAAATCGTTTCTTTCTCGTTAACGATGGCGTTATGCTGACGATTGCAATCTCGGATCCTGCATTTGAATTTCGTTTCGTCTCCCTCTTAAAGGAAAGACCAGATTTAATTGGAAAGATTGCAGTATTGTTAAAGTTCATATAACCGAAAGTGAGAATTCCGGGTAATGCATGTATAGAAAATCCGCTCCGTTACTGCATGCAATTTTTTAAAGATTTGCTACCAATTGTGTATAGGTTGTGAAAGGGATATTCCCCTGAAACACTCGCTTTTCATAGAGGAAGTATTGTTTTTCATAATTTCAGATGCGAAAGACGACTAAGTTAAAAAAGCACCATCCAGGAATTCAATAAATATTTTATTATTAGGATGGACAATATTACTCATATTGTAGCCAATGAGAGACACCTGAACACCAGAAGGGATTTAAATTCTTCATTTCCGAGCAAGCGCAAAGGGAAAACCAGCGTACTTTAAGTACAAAAAATGCAAATGTAAAAATTGCCCGCCACCAGAATGTCATGGCGAGTCATGTGCACGTTCGAATTTGAGACGAGTTAATTGAAACTGGTAACCAGCAAGCGGTGTAAAGGGGTGATTGGTTAATTTTTTGGTATTGCGTGCTTCGAAAGCTGTCGAATCTTTACCAGGAAGCTTCCATAGTTTAACGTTGCATCAGTAAATGCAAAAAAAAACCTATGTCGTTATTGTTCTATAAAAACCAACAGTAACCAAAAGACAATTGATAAAATACAAGAAAAAAACTCAGCGTCAAAACCAGAAAAAACTCTTTGCCAGCTTGCTATCACATTATATAAAAAGAAACAAGAAGAGATGTCGTCATAGCAAAACACCATACTATTTATAGGTGGTCTTTAGGTGGACAAAATAAATCACGATTTATTCTGTTTTAAAAATTTCAAGGAATGCAAACCCTTATACAAACCATTATTCAGGGTTTTAACCCAGAGGAAGCAAAGAGGTCGATTAGCTTATTTTATTGCTTCATTATTCTGTTGTTCATTGTTCTCTATAATTTATGAAAATATGTTAAACTTTTATCAGCGCTTTTCTCAGCAAACTAAAATTCTCATTCTCCTTACTTTCATGCACGATAACTCAAAAAGTGACAGAGCTAACCTGATAAAATTCTCATTGTTGAATTCAAAGAAAATTGGCTCAGATGTGAATTGACTAAAAGTTTTGTATTCCGTTCAGTCTAAGAAAAATAGCGACTGTTTATTACCGATAATTATATCGCAGAAGTTTTATATTTATTGCCTGTAACACGTTTAACGTTAATGTTCAGCTCCTAGTCAAAAATATTCAGAACTAAAAAAATAATTCCGTTGTTCTACAGTTAAAATCTAGTTTGTTATCGTGTTTACAAATAACAAAAATCGTCTATTTCGAATTCCACCATTGAGTATTCTGGCCTGCATGGCTAACTATAGTGATTAAAGATTCCTACAAGCCTTTTTTTCACTCCCAGCAACTTGGCTTGCAATAATTGCATGAAAAGATTTTTAAATTTTTGAAAATAAAATATTTCTTGCATAAGACCACCTTAACAACTCATGTTCATGATTTATGTAAGGACTGCGAGTTCTTTTGACGCTTTTAGACCATTATATACGACTGGCGTTCTATACTTAATGTGTAAAGCTTCAAAGAATAGCAGAAGGTTAGAGTTGGTGTGTGTTTGAGAGTGTGAAGAATGTGTTTGTTAACCGGTATGAGATTGTGAGGAGAGAGCAATAGTATTACGTTTCTTTGCGGTATCACTGATTGAATTGTCATTGCTGTCATAAAGATTGTCAAGGAGCTCGGATGGTGCAACTTAGGATATAATTCGCGTGCTCACATTCCGACAGGTGTTTAGCATTCGAACTTTTTTGTGGATCTGCATGCTCAGATAAACTGGTAGACACGTTTTGCTCATATATGAATTGTTACAACCCGGACAAGTGAATTCTTAAACAATATTACTGCGCTGCGACGTCGAAATTTTGTCTTTTTCAGGTAAAAAATATCACACCTTCTTAGTGTCATATTTAACCGGCCGTGCAAAATTCTGCTGTATTTTATTGACGACTTTTTTAACTAAAAATTCTCTCTGTCTGCCGAGAAAAGGAATTCCTAGGTAAAAAGTCCTCAAAGAAAATACAGCCGAATCTCACACAGTTGGTTAAATTTGTATTAATTTATTACACCAAGAAGGTGTCATATTTTTTAACCGTAAAAGACAAAATTCCTAACTCGCAGTGCACTAATATTGTTTAGGAATTCACATATCCGGGTTGTAACAGTTCATATATATAGGCAAAACAGAAAGAAACTTGGCAACCCGTTTATCGGAACATGCAGTTCCACAAAAAAGTTCGATTGCTAAACACTTGTCGGAATGTGAACACGCTATTTATGACAAACTTTATGACACCGATGACAATGATACCGCAAAGAAACATAATAATACATTACTCGATCTCTCTCTTTTTCTTAACAATCTCATATACAGGTGTTTTAACACACAGATTCTTCACAAACGCCTCTAACCTTCTGCTATTCCTTAAAGCTTTATACATTAAATATAGTAAGCCAGTGCCAAATAATGGTCGAAAAAACCTATTCGCGGTCTTAACATTAATCATGAACATGAGCTGTTAATAATATAGTCTTACGCCATGACGTCATCTCTTCTTGTCTCTTTGTATATATAATATGATAGAAAGTTTGTAAATAGTTTGTTATGGTTTGACAACGACTTTGAAATAGTAATGAATTCAAAATAATTACCCTAAAATTATCGTCTTGTTGTCTCTATATAGCTCATAATTATCTTGAGTTTACAAGATGTCATTTTTCGGAGTATGTTTTTTCTTGTATTTTATTGTTATTTTTCCTCTAAATTGGCTGATCAACACCCAAATTCAGAAAATAGTTACGTGTGACCTTCGAATGCCTGTATTCATTGAATGTCAACAGAACTTGTAATGCAGAAATTTATTTTCAACTGATTCGACACATGCACCTTAAACATTGACGATTTATCGTATGCTATTTATCGTATACAAAACCACCTGGACTGTCCGAAATCTTAAAAATAGTAAAAGTGGCATATGACTTTTGCTACGTGATCAACCTGAACGTGACCACGTACCATGTTCCGTGACCAGCATCAACCAGGTTATTCGCTGCAGCGAGGTCATGGAGGTTATAGGTAGAAAAACCTGCTTGCAAGGTTGAAATCGGTGTACAAAAAAACTTACTCTGCATTCAAGGAAATGCTATCCTTGCCAAAATCAAAGGCGTAATTTCCAGAGTTTGGAACCTTTTTAAATGTTTTCAAGCTCCCATGGTGAAGACGGAAATCAAAAGTATCAAATTGCGATATTTCAATATCAATGTGGGTCGCGTTGATGGCATTTTTATCCCAAGTCAAAACTGTTTTTGTTGAGTTTACCCAACGCTTCATTTCAAGCCCTTCGATATCTGGAGGATTTCGTCCGATCGGAACTAGATAGGAGAGAAACCTATATAGTTAAAGGTGCTTCAAAATCCTGACGTGTACATTAGCAAAATGCGCATTCAATCAATGAAGATTATGTAAAATATTGATATGACATGATAGGTGGTAAAGAATATTTCCGGTCTACCTTCTGTAGACTTATCATTGAATGATAGGCTAATTTCTCGTAGATTAAGGGAGTTGGAATTTTACAGATATAAAGAAAGAAGATACCATTTATGGCGAAAGGTTTTGTTACGCATTTATTCAATACTATATATGCAATTTTCATGCAAAAGTTTACATCCTAGTTTATAGCATTACTTGATCTGAAAGTGCCAGTGTAATTGTATGTGGTACCACCATCCAAAGATAATTCAAGTGGCATAAGTCCAGTAACATTTAACGGAGGTGTAACGCAATATGCTTGTTCGGGACTGATAAGCTCTGCAGCTGACTCCAAATTTTTGTTAAAGCGACACACGATGTCATTAGTTGAATTGTAACACGGCCCCCCTATGTACACCACAGTTCCTCCTAATTCAATTCCTGACCTTGGAGAAAGTACCAGATCTACAAATGATATATCAGTCTCAGAGAAAGTTTAACTATACCAATAAAATATCGTTTAAAATGAAGAAACTTTAAATTTGGAAAGCTACATCAACTTCTCGAGCATTTGATTACTGATTAAATTTAATCAATGTTATTCTGCATGCTAATTGTCTCGGCGTCGACAACTAACGCCAGTGGCTTAACCAGATGTTAATTAGTCCCGCTTTGGTAATATTTGGGTGTTCGTGGGCTGTGAGAACAATCAGTTTCAATGAAATTAATGATAATAGCCTAAAATTGAATAACAGGGCTGAATCATAATGCTAGATACGGAATCGAATAATTAACTTCACTAACATCAGATTATCACAAAGTAGCTACCTATAAAAAAATAGGCGATTTCCTTTCGTTTGTTTGCTATGTACGAATTAGTGAATGAGTAATGCTAAAAGGTGAAGCTAACTTAGCTTTAATTTATTTGAATCCTTTTGGGAAGAGCTGCCCAGCTTCTTCTAAACGATATATTGCGCTATTACCGAAATTTTTGATATTTTGAGTGTCGCATGTATATTTACTCGCACTTTACCGTAAATATGCCCATCAAGAGTTACTATAATTACAGAGAAAAATCGCCGTTCTGGTTCAATTGGTGATAACGAAAGATTTACCAGAATGCACTACGGTCAGCAATCGTTTTAAAAGCGAATTGAAGTTTTTTGAGGACAAGATATAATAAAGGAGGCTATTTTCTTAGTTGTGTTAAAGTTTTATTCATTAGGTGATTTATTTCTCATCCTTTGCTAGTAATTTATGCTTGATGCCAGCAATGCTTGTGGTAAAATGTACATTCTGCCATCTTTTTGTTATGGTCAATTAAATAGTCGTTTCGAAACGTTTTGGTAACGGAATTACTCGCCTTCGGCTCGGCTGTTAACGCTTACCTCGACCTTGATAACTCTGCATATCACAAAAACCTCATCGATATCCAATAATTGTTTATTATTACGCTATAAAAATGGTCTAACATATACAATACCGCGTCCTGATGCACAGCCAGTATTCTTAACCGTCTCTCCATCAACCTGAAAAATCCACATCCCAGGTCTTTTATAGTTTGATGTCGATAAAATATTGATTATCTCAGAAGTACGAGAGTTTGGAATATTAAAATATCGAACACCGTCCCCAGCATTAAATCCAGCCTTGAATAGAAAAATGTGAGTAGAAAAATGTAGATAGAAAAAACATTCTTTAGAGGGGAGAAGGAACAAAATTACGACGTGTTACCAAAGTGAATTTTATTTGTTTAAAAAGAATGCAATGAAGTTCTTTTAGTGGTTTTGAAGTATTGCTTGCATGCTTCTTGGTATTTGCGGAAGAAAAGAATAGCTTGTATTTCAATTCTCGACGGCATAACTAATCAGGGTTCCACAACTTATCTGTATATGGCTGCCTAATAGGGGGATAGGAATGACAAAAAATGGAAACAAATAATCAAAAATTTTGAAAAGAATGCATAGTAAACTCTATTAGCTATCACGGATCCCACCCTCCCTTGTTGTTGTCAATTGCAAGGACATTTCCTTTCATTGTGGAAACGCTGCTGTTAATTTGAAAACCGTAAATATTCGGTAACACTTTTTGCAGATCGGCATCATTATTTGTTTCTTTGTGGTTTATTGTGCGACGTCTTTTATGCGGGTTACGGGCCGAAGACCAACCCTCAACTTTAATTACATACACGGCTCAACATTTGGCGTTCAGTACCTATTTCAGCTTATGTATAACCCAGAAAAAGTAAAAGCACTGGCTTTAATTTTCCCTCCTGAAGTTATCGTTCCAGTTTGTTTGGTATGGTACTGCATACCTGCGCCTACTCAAACCCCTTTGCCAATAATTACTCCGGCGTGAGCAACGAAGTTGAAAATTCGCCTAGGATTTGTTTTGTTTTTGTTGCGTTTTTTGTTTTTCGTCACGCAATTAAGTGAGTTTTGGCGCGAAAATACTAGTATTTGAAAAAGTATATTTGACCGTATTTATCTACGTCACAGTTTTCTATTTCACCGTTTAACAAGTTGTGGTCGTGTATGGGCGCGTAGACACGTCGCAAAGGATTGAAGATATAAGCCCGAATTGCAAAGTGTAAGACAAAGTGAACGTATCATGCGGTTTATTTACATTTTTAAACAATTGAACTTCTATATACTTTTTAATTATTGTGATCGTCGGAGATTATGGACGGATAAATAAGATATGTCAAAATGTCAAATTTTCGCATTTTTCATTAAAAACACGCACGCCTCAGGCTACTTCGGCATCACACGTCGATCTTTCGCGCGGTCTTTCGTTGCTTAAAAATTATTGCAGGCGGATGGCTCTGCCAGGCTTTCGTCCAACCGGTCCTTGGTCTGTATCGCATTCTATATGGCTTACTTATGAAGATGAGATAATCTAATATTATGAGTATAGTCATTACACATTCACCACAAACCTGCGCAGAGATTCCTTTAGTATTGCTATGAAGACCAAACGTCCATTCAATTTTGTTGTAGTAAAATATTGCAAATGAGTTGACACCATCCGTTGCTAATATCGTCTGGAATGTATTCTATGTAAAAGACAACGCTTTGAACGCTTTCCACATTTTTGAGACAGAGGGAAATATTTCCCTATACGGACCAACTTAACTGGTAAATAATAGATAATAACAGATAAATAATAGTACTTTTCAAAAATACGTATTAAAAGTAAAACGCTGATATCTCGGGGAATATTGTATCAAAATACGCATGGTATATACTAAATGTTAAAAATTCACGAATCTAAAGAAAGTTATTTCAGTGTAACTTATTGAAAGTTATTTGAGTATAACTGCAAAACTAAGACGTCTGTTACACTGAATAACTTTCTATATATATATATATATATATTATATATATATATATATATTATATATATTATATATATATATATAGTAATTACCCGCAAAGTGGAACCTCCACCATACTGAGCTACATTGAGCCAAGTAACAATCATGATCCACTTTGCTAAGAAGCTTCTTTGGCGAACGAAGTACTTTTTAATTTCGTTAGAGACACTTGTTCGCATTGCAAGTTCTTGAGTTTCTCTGTAATAAACAATGCCGCCATCTGTTGTGTCAACATCAGCCCAGAATGGTGCGATCAAACGTCGATTATCTCCAAGAGGGAATGCGTCAGGAGTATACTGTGACACTTGGACAAGAAAAGAGATCACTCCATTTGTGTTTACCTGAGAAATTATTATATATTAATAGTGAACTCAAAAATAGGGGAAGGTAGGGGGGTACATGGGAAAAATTATTACACTTCACTTGCTCTTTACTTTAGAAATTGAGTATTTTTTAAGGTTCAGGGTGATAATGGCACTTAATTAAGGCCGGGGCTTAATTAATTGTTTAAACTGTACATAGGGGGAAAGGATTAAAGAAAAGAGCATGCTGTTCATTCTTTAAGTACGAGATAATAAGTGTGAGTGACGAGAGGTAAAAATGAAAAGTCAAAAATCAAAACTAAATAGCCGAACAGACAAAATTGTATATATATATATTATTTTATACACACAAGCGCCAGGTATGAGGTATGCTGCAATTTCATTGGTTGGCTACTAGACAGATATTAGCCCATATATATCTGTCTAGTAGAGAAAGTAAACAAAATGGCTGAAAGATTTGGGAGTTGCGTGAAATAGGAATCCAAACTTTAGTTGATAATAGCACACCAAAATGCACCGAAAGGGTGACAAAGTTTGTGTAGATAATAAAACAGCTCATATACGACTCGAGTTCGCAGAATAACTGTTAATAAGGCAAATGCGTGCATTCAATAGAAAAAATTCATTATTCTGGGGAAATCAAAAGCGTGAAACAAATCAAGTTGGAACAATTCAAGTCGGAACAGGCTAAGCCCAAACAAGTAAGTGAGAAAGATGGAAGCAGTTCAATGTGACGGGAAGTGCCATCAATAAAAAGAAACATTTGATGATTTTGAACCGACTTGAAATTATTAGCTAGTGGCTTAGGCATCAAAGAAACAGATAAGCTAATCAGAAATGCTATAGCATGTAAATTTTTGGATGAAGGGGTAAAACAACGATGTTTGGAAAAGAGTGAAAACTTAACCTTAGAAACAGCTATCATATATAGAGAGATTATTTGAAGCCACCAAAACCCAACGAATTCCGCAGATGAAGGGATCAGATGGGCCGGATACTCCTGAACCCACTAAAAAAGAGTGACAAACCGCATCAAATTGTTAACTATGTGCATGGTTGCAATAGTTACAAACCACATGAAAAATGTCCAGCCAAGAACCAAACCTGCCGCATGTGTGGAATGATGGGACACTTCAGTGGAGTGAAAAAACTGGCAGTTCTGATGATGAATACAAGCAAGCCAAAAGTTGCATTTACTGCACCTCAAAACCCTGACGCCCGACGAGTTTGACAGCTGAAAGGACTTACTGAGAGATGGTAAAATGGTGGGTAAAAGCTGTCCAAATTGGCCATGGGACATTGGAATGCCAATTGTACACTGGTGCACATGCAGGTTAGTTTCATGACTGCTAAGCAGTTACAAAGTGTTGCTCCCAATGCACGAATCATGAAAACACATTAGAGACTTAATAATATAGCCAACATCAGATCATACCCAGAGGATTTGCCACACTAAAATTGAAACACAAAAAAAAAACAAGCGAAGGTAAATTCTTCATCATTGACAATGCATATAATCCAGTGTTATCTGGAAAAGTCTGCAAATCTTTAAACCTAGTGAAGCGAAAACACGAAATTGACCACAACTCTTACGACAATGCCTTAATCGGCCTCGGAGTTATAACTTGAAGTTAAAGTTTAAACTTTGACAAGGTGAAGATCAGAAAAGGCGAATTGCCGTATGTAGGACACCTCATATCAGCACATGGGCTAAAAGCGGATCCATGAACGTTAAAGCGATGAAAACTAATGCCAGCACCCAAGAAGAAACATGATTTCCGTCGTTTTCTGGGTTCAGTACAATACCTAGACAAGTTCTTGCCACACTTAACGGAGGTACAAGAGCAATTACGGCACATAACAAAGAAGTCTTCCGCTGGGACAAATCACACGAAAACGCTTTTCAACGCATCAAAGATCTATGCTCTGCGAAGCAACTATACTAGCCTACTATGATGTCAAGAACGATGTCAAGGTAGAGTGTGACCCTAGCAAGAATGCAGTCGTCGCTGTCCTTGTACAAGAAAGCAAGTCTATAGCTTATTCATACCGAAAGCTTTGTATACAGCCGAGATAAACTGGTCAACTATTGAGAAACAAGGGAAACTGCCGTTAGAGACCATTTTTGCAAGCCTTAGCTGTGTCACCCTTGGGGATGCAGACCATCATGCTGAAAGTGAAAGTATATGACATGAAAGTTGAATACATTCCTGGCAAGGGCAAATCATCGCAGATACGCTCAGCAGAGTCAGTCTTAATGTTATTCCACCAGAAAGAAAGGCGTTTCGGGACAACATTCCGGAGAGAATATCTGCCACACATGACCAATACCATGCAGGAACTTCAAGAAAAGACTGCGAATGAGATATACGATTTGTATTCACTTAAATTCCATGACTATGCAGCAGCGAAACAGAAAAAACCAATGATGCCGAGCAAGACTCCAGACCATGCATCCATGGCATGGGGCGAAGCAGCATCTGACATAATATTATTTACATTCAATAGCACAAACTACGTATGATATCCCAGAAACGCTTACAACAGACTGTGGTACAAATTATGCAAGTGCAAAATTTAAAAATTGTGGTCTTCAGCATAAAAATGTTATAGTTGTGGCGGTACGTTTGCGGACAAATATAGAATATCGCAGCACAACGCAAGGACTGGCCAGCTAAAAATATGGTAGGCTAGTAATTTCAGTAAGATGAATTGTTTAAAGCAATTTTTGAGAACGCACATTCAGTTCTTCATTTATTCCGTTCAATGGTAACGTAATTACGTGACGTCATTTATATATACACTGCATGCATGAATACCGTTACTCAAAGTTTCGGCAAAAGATGACCTATAAACTGTTCGCAAAACATTCCTTTGTACTACATTAGCATAAAAATTATAAACATCTATCCGCGAAGCTCAGTAATTGTTTAATAGACATATAAAGATTTGATTGTATACGTTTCTTAACTTTTCAGTACGATTTTATTTTTTGGCAGTGCAAGATACGGCAGAGCAAGTCATCCAAGTTCATGAACAAACGAGTATCACGATGCGTCAAACAACCTATGCTGGATTTATTGCATTTTATTAATTTATTTCTTTGGTATAGTAACAGAGCTAGACAGCCTGGCTAACGGGAAAGTCCATTCGCATTATAATTTGCGTTTCAGTATGTATATTCCAGTACAAGTTCCCTGATTTAAAGTTTCTGACAAGAATGATTTGCAAGAAAGGTGTAGCTATACCTGGAGCTGCACTAGCGTATGAAAAATCTTCAACTTCAAGTATCAAGACATCCTGCATTGCCTTTGTTTCGGCATATCAACGCCGTACCGCACTCATACTGACTTCGACAATATCGAAACCCATGATTTTGCCAAATAAATTGTTGCCAACGCAAATAAGTGTATATACATAGGTCATAGGACTATAATATGTTATCTGTATTACGACCACACTCAAATATACAAATAATATAAAAAATAAAAAATGAAATTTTGTCTGTTCGACATAGACATATAAAGATTTGATTGCAGTACGATTTTATTTTTTGCATACACGTATCGGCAATATTTTTGTTTAAAAAATTTTTTTTATAACTATAGCTTTCCTCTTGCCTTTTTACTATTGACTTTCGAATTTTTACTTTCGACTTTCTACTTCTTAGTATTGATTCTTGACTTTTTTCCTCGAACCTCGACTTTTACTCTGGAATGTCGTACTTAACTCTCGACTGATCGACCCTCGATCGCCTTTTAGGCAGAGTCTTTCAGCACTTCGCATCAACTGTGCTGCAATTAATTAACAACTGCCCAAAATAAACAAAACACTTCTGGGCGTTTCGCCCCCGAGAATTTTGTCAGGATAGTATGAAAGTGCATGTACGTGTTTTTCAGGCTCTAAACGCATCACTGGGGATTCACTGCTTGTGTTTCGAATTCTTGAAATTACTCTACTTTCGTTATTGGGCATTCCTCAATAACTGCCAATATTTATTTGATTTCCATTAAAGCTACATGTATTTTTCTATTTGAAAAAACTGCTGGTCGCTACAGGTACACAGGCTGCTACAATAACACAATTATTAGTTTGAACATATATAAAAATTTAATTGTAAAATTGAGCAAGACATACACTCACAAATGATGTGGCAAGTGTTTATAATAATTATCCTGAAAGATATGGGTGCAAATATCGCCTAAAACTATACATGTATACCGATTAAATATCTGGTGCGTATGAATAAGTATGAAAATAATGTCTGCAAAATACTTACGAACAGGGAGTCATGTTCTTCGTCGAAGAAAGGAAAGGGAAATGCAATATTGACAAGACCCGAACTGCCGTCATCATTGGTGGGTACTGAAGTATCTCCATTGCTGGGTCCATAAGGAAAAAAGTCCCGAAGCTCTATTCGCGTATAAGCAATCTGAGCAAGACAGAAAAAAACAGAAGCTAAAACGAAGGACTTCATACTTCTTGCTAATTTCTAGAAGGATATGTTTATATGCACTGAGTATTGAAAGCTTTTCTAAACCATTTTGCATAATTATTTATGAATAAGTATTATATAGGTATTTTTAAATTTCAATGCATATTTTGCCAAACCTCGCTCATTATTAATTTACTGCGACGCAGTATGATCAAATTCTTTATATACTACGTAAACATGTTACATTTATACATTACACATGCACAATTAGTGTAAATTGCTAAGATTTCCTAACGCGTCTTGATGACTATGACTTTCCGAAGACTTGACAAATTTTAGGCCTAAATTTTAGCTTTCAGAGTAGCAATAAAGCTAATAGTAAATTTAAGATTTTTAGAATTTGCATTTAATAATATGTTCCGGATGCTTAATTCGACAGGACGTCTGTTTTTATAGATATAATTACTCTTACTTCTTAGTATTTTTTTTCTCTATGTAAGATTTATAATTATATTTCAGCTTATTATAATAATGACTTATGACAACAAGACTTATCGAATCAGCGAATCCCTGGCTATGATACTCATCAATCTCTTGCTGAGATGAAAACATTAAAAAAATGACTAAAATGCTACAACGGAAAATATTTCGTATACCTATATTTGCAAAGAACATCATAAACTCATTAAATAAACTTTTTGTAAGATGAGTATATTTGTGTAGCCGTACGTATGTGTGCCCTCGCCTACTGTAATCAGGTTTTAAGGTTCGACAGTTAATGATGACTTAATGTGCAATATTTGCATGCAGCCTAACTAACTGCCGTCATCATCGGTGAGATTGAAGTATCTCCATTGCTGGGTCCAGAAGGAAATCCTCAAACTCTATATGCGCGTATATACGCAATATCTGTGCAAGATAGAAGAAACTACACTGAAGCGAAAGCCAAAGTCGTCTGTTATATTCATTTTAATAAGGATACGCTTAATGATATAAGTATTGAAAGCTTTTCTTAGCCATTTTGCATATGTATCAAATAATACATTTAAATTTCAATGCATATTTTGCCACGCCACGTTCATTATATTATTTATTGTTTTACGCAGTATGATCGATTTCTTTATTAGTACTACATAAACATAATTATATTAGCTTTCTCGTCTAGTTAACTTACAGAACTGAGAATTTTGAATATCCTTTCGTTTCAATATAACCCGTGAAACTGAGCACAAAGATATATTTCATGCAGGCATTATAATACGCGTGTTTTTGACACACTTTGTGTCCTTGTAAAAGGCGAATGTGTCCTTGTAAATGGAAAAGTGTGTAGTTAGAAATCATGCCTCATGGACAAAAATGTCTAATATAATTTTAATTTGACTATTTAAAATAATTATTGTTTCTATTATATAGTATATAAAAACGCTTGGATAGTATATCCGGCATAGCATTTATATTAAAAAAGGCTAGAGACTGACGGACCCTGCTTTGCATGGCTATGCTCTTTTTTATATGCTTGTGTTGTAATTTCACGTTGTAATTTCTAAGACTAAGTGATTATTGAACTTAAAGACAATGTGTGTCCTTGTAAAAATTCCGTATTATAATGCCTGATTTCATGTTCCATCATATGAGCTTTGCTGTAGGACGCTAATGAAAACTATAGGTTCTAAAATTACCAATGCAGATGAATTTATTATTGAAACAAAGACTATAAAAAGGGTAAGTATCCATTATAAACTATTATGAGATACGGCAGTGCAGGTCATCCAAGTTATAAACAAACGAGTATCACGATGCTTCAAACAACTTATGCTGGATTTATATATTTTATTAATTTATTTCTTTGGTATAGTATCAGAGCTAGACAGCCTGGCTAACGGGAAAGTCCATTCGCATGATAATTAATTTGCGTTTCAGCATGTATATTCCAGTACAAGTTCCCTGATTTAAAGTTTCTGACAAGAATGACTTCCAAGAAAGGTGTATGGCTACCTGAAGCTGCACTAGCGCATGAAAATCTTCAACTTCAAGTATCAAGGCATCCTGCATTGCCCAATTTGTTTCGGCATATCATCGCCGTACCGCACTCATACTGACAATATCCAAACCCATGATTTTGCAAAATAAATTGTTGCCAACGCAAATAAGTGCATATACATAGGTCATAGGACTATAATGTGTTATCTGTATTATGACCATGCAAATTCAAATAGTTGATACAAATAATATAAAAATGTATAAAAATGTTTGAATCGCAATAAACATAATCGTTTGCAACAATCAACTGAACATGCCAAATCCATAAATGCCTGCTCAATGCAGCAGCAGAACCGGTGAGGTTTACTCAATTTTATGACCATTTCTGTTTCCTAAAATAATAAATCCTACCGACTTTTGAGCATTTCATGATAAAATTATAAGCTCAGGGGCCGTTTCTGAGACTTCGTCCCCGTTTACATGACACAGGACGAATTTGCAATCGCTCGATCTGAATTAAGTGTTTTCGGCCTTTCGTTTACCCGAGAACCACGCAAGCGAACAAATTTAATACCCTCTTAGCAAGACGAATTCGTGATCCAAAAAAAACCCGCGTTCAGATTTTTTACTCGACCGGCTTAAATTCGTCCGGGTGCCGTATAAACACCAGAAATTTGTCTTGCTTTGTTTTTGTACCGATATATAGCGCGGTTAAGGAATGGGCATGTCATCAATACGATGCTCATGCATATTATTGTATTTTTCACGAACAATAAAAAAATTCAGTCTTATAGGGGAATTCGTCCGGTACCGTGAAACACAGGATAAAAAAGGACCAGAAATTGCATGGTTTGGGGTAAACAGTGAAAAAGGACGAATTTCAGAGACCGCTCCTAAATTCACCTTTCTACAAATTCTATAAACGTGCACAATTCGTGCACAATTTATTTCATGCGGTACCTCGCAGCCGGTGTTGAATGAAAGAATATGTAATCAGACTTAGCAACGCCACAAAACATGCCAATAACTGTAGTCTATATAATTTATTCATAGAAAAATGTCGGTAAATACGTTTACAGTGGTTATAGTGGCGCACAGAGTATCGGAAAATCCCGCCGTCTGGGGTCGGTTGTTCAAAAGCCGGTTAGTTTAACCCTGGGTTAAAGCAAATCTTTATCGTAATTTTTTCAATCACTTGCTTACAAAATTGAATCTCTTTTTTACCAATATTTTCTGGACTGTTAGAAGCAATATTTTCTAAAGTTTTAAAACGAACCACTAGTGATTTAGAAGCAGTTTTCTACTAAAACTCTGATTTAAAATTTAACCCATGCAGAGTAAGCGCTAACCTAGCTTTGAACAACTGGCCTCTGCTATTCAGCTAATCAAGTTCCGCTTGTTGTTAATATGAAAATGTTATACTTACTTTCAAGCCCATGCTTTAAAGGCATACAAAATCTTTCCCGAAGTCTGATAAGCGAGTTTGGATCCTTTCATTCTTTTTACATACGGGGCTGATTAAATGTGGACATTCATTTTGCCGATGGGCAACCATCAGAAAGGTGAACTGGGAGGTAACTAATATCATTAATATATATGCTAGGAATATATAATTATATGTACTTTCCCACATGATGACCACCATAAAAGTATTCCTTCTTGTAATATTTTGGGCATCTCGAGTTGCCCTCCAATTTTCAGTGACTAAATTAAAGGTCGATACGTTGATGATTTTTGGACCTGAACAAATCTGATTTTTCAATAGTACATGGGTTATATTATATAAATCGGCTTCTAAATCATCGCGCATATTTTCGCGCCTATATTTCTGGCCATGCAGGAATATTCTAATTAAGTGCAACTATACTCTATAGCGTCCGCCCAGTGGCTCAAGTCCAATGATAGATTATGGAAATAAGAGCGTGCATGTGCAATGCAATAATCCACTACGGCTTCAAATTGACTTGCATTAACAAAGATTAGGATCGCAAGAGCAATGTGCAATTTCTTTCACCGCTACAAATTTTTAGGGGTCTGCGGCATTTAACCTCCCACCTTTTTCGAGCATATAAAAATTCGTTCTGGGACGGTTGTTTACAACTTTTAATCATAATTATTTAAATGTCAGTTTTTGTAGTCAAAATGTCTTTGGTAGCTAAAGGGTCATTTCGTATCAGTTTATACGCATGAAAGGCATGTTTCGTTGAATAATTTTGATAATTTTACGAATTTAAAAATATTTTATTATAGTTTTTCCTAACAACGGGCGATATTAAAGCGATTGAAAAAATACACTACCCAGTGGATAGTGCTTTCATATTTCATATTTCATATGAACCGGCCGGGTCTAGTTTTGGTAGTGATGGAGCAGAACTGATTGGCCGGGCGCTGGCAATCGTTGAGCTCGCGGTCGTACTTATACTTGTTTCGATATTTATCAAGGCATTATATTAATTTTATTCGCATTGATATCGCTTATGTAGCTCGTGCTGTTGTACGCTGGTATTGTATACGCTATGCATGGGACAAAAAAAGGGCGGAAGAAAACGATATCTAATTATGACATTGTTTATTTATTAGTAATTATTAAGCAAAGGAATACATTCGTAGAAAGAAGTTCTATGATTAATTGTTCACACATCTCTTTATCTAAATATTAATTATTGGTTACATTCTCCAGCACCAAAAAAGGCTGTCAATGCCTATTTTAGACTACAAGTGCAAGTTCGGTGAAAGTTGATATATTTCAATTCTAGTAAATTTAAACTCTTTACTTCAACAAAAGAGAGGCATCATAAAAGAAATAATATATTTTATACATGATTACATGATTACTGTGCATGCTATTTTGCCTGGAAATAACTTTAAACTACATTATATAAGAGTTATTTTGATGATTAGAGACATGTAAATTGGCTGGAGCAGTTGAAGAAAACTTGTTGCAACAGCAGCGCTTACACAATGCAGCGATTACAATGATGAGAAATATAGCAACAACAGAAATACCAATCACAACTGCATAGAACTTTAACGTTTTTCGATCGTCTGTAATGTAAAAAAGACATGAAAGTTAACATTTGAATTGATTGATCAAGGCAGGAAACAAGCCGCTAAATGGTCAAAAGATATTATTCTCTGATAATGGTCAAAAGATATTATTCTGTTCGAATAAACGTCGTGCATGGTGTTGCTCTTCCACTCACTCCTTACTCACTGTCTTACTCTTAGAGTTATGTAGTAAAATCAAGTATGTTGTAGGTGCAATAAATTATGTTGTTGTAACACGCGGGGCAGTATTTTCTAGGTAATACACTAATTTCAGAGTCAAAGTAGAGTTTTACACACTGTTCAACCATGAAACAAAGGTGAAACTAAATTCGCAGTTTTAGATTCACGAAATATTGTACGTAACCTCATATTGTACACACAGCACTTTGTTATCCAAAGTATTCGTTTCATTTACTCTATAGTGTGCGGGACAGGGGTGGGGTAAAATACCAGTGACTGGAGGGTCAGAAAAGTATTGGTATATTCAATGTATAGGAGTTCATTGTACAATGCATTAATTTTAGCGAAAATATAAATTGTCGTGACCGCGAATTTTATTATGTGTTTTGTTAAGAAATCTGCGAAATGGAGCAGGTTAGACGAACTAACGTGAATATATGTTAATAAAATTGACCAAATAAAAAAGAATCTTAAATAAGAAAACAAAATAAACGTTGATCATTATCGAGAACATCTGTCTAACTCTTCACACACACTGAGGACTGGTCAAATTCGTACGATCAATTGTATTCAGGTTAAATGAATTTACGTATAATATTTTTTTCCGTCTACGGGAGTATTAGTCTAGGACCTGTAAAGAAATTTGTATGCATTTAATTTAGGACAGATTATCTCAACTGTTTTAGGGTAAAAAGACCATGGCGGTCAACATGGCATATGTGCCAAAATCTGAATCCGGGACGAAAGTCCTGAAAATGACCACACCCAAAACGGCATAGTCGACATATGACAAAAATGTTTAGAAAATAGGAAAATTAGACTTTGCCAGGTGAATCTGTAATTTTATGCATAATTATAGCAATTGAACTGGAATGGTAAACATTCATTTTCTTGTAAAATATGAAACTTAGGCTAAATTCACTCTCTAGTGACCACCCCTAAAAGCAACCACCATTCTGAACAATATAAACAATTTAGAAAGACTGTGGCTTTGGTAATTCAAGATTTAGAGCTATGTCGACTATGGCGTTTCTGGGTGCGGTCATTTTCAGGACTTTCGTCCCGGATTCAGATTTTGGTACATATGCCATGTTGACCGCCATGGTCTTTTTACCTTAAAACAGTTGAGATAATCATTCTCTTGATCTGTCCTAAATGAAATGCATATAAACTCACTTACAGGTCCTAGACTATATGATTGTATTAAAAAGTATCAAAGTTCAAAAATGTATTGAAAATCCGCGCTTGTATTAAAAACTTTAATAATAATAATAATCAAAACTTTTTTTCAAGAGGGTATTTTTTGCATTATTTACCGTTTTTACAAGTATCCTACCTAATGGCCCTCCTTAATGACCTCTCCAGTAGATTAAGACTTGTAGGAAACACATTGACAAATGACTACATGCTGGCAAGCAATGCAGATGTATTATTGATATAGTCAACTTAAATCAATAAAGAATTTTTTTTAATATATTGCATGATATGCATTCAGTTTGTCTTCACTTTAGGATTCACGCTTATATTAAATCTTCAATCATGTGCAAACTGTGACGTGTCAAAACGCCCATACCCGACCACAACTTGTTAAACGGTAAAATAGCGGTGATATTATTAAAATAGGACCAATTAATCGATCAAAATCAAAAGAACGGTTTATTTGTTCATCTTCGAGGAATTTCCATATCATGAGAGTGAAATCCAATCGGGCATCGGAAAATTAGATTTCGATCGGTGCAAAACAACTCTTGGGAGACAAAACTGTGACGTAGATAAATACGGTCACGTACACTTTTCAGATACTAGTATATTTCGCGCCAAAACGCACTTGCGACGACGAAATATATTAATAAAAAAAATAATAATAAATATCAAGAAAACAAAATCTAGGCGAATTTTCAACTCCGTTGCTGACGCCAGATTAATAAGTGGAATTTTCCTCATTACTCTGGTGTCAGCGACGTTTTTCGTCTTCGCAAGTGTGCTTTGGGCGCGAAATACACTAGTGTTACAAAAGTTTATGTGACCGTATTTATCTACGTCACAGTTTTTTCTCTCAAGAGTTGTGGTGCACAGCTCAAAATCTTTGGCTAATTGCCCGATGCGCGATTTGATTTCGCTCGCATGATGCGGCAATTCCTCCAAGAGGAAGAAATAAACCGTTCTTTTGATGCTGTTCGCGATATATTAAGTTTAGATTGAATTAGTCGCGTGACTCATCTGACAACCCCTAGATCCGCCCCTGTAATCCGTCATTGCTTGTAACCTTTTCGCTGCTGTCAATGTTGACCGCCATCTTTAATTTTGTTCATGTGATAGCCGTATTGCTTATAACAGCGTGTAATATGTGTAATATGCATGTTGACGAATGTAAACGTTCATGTTGTGTTAGTGCTTGATCGTATTCTTATTTCTTCAATCGTGTGCGACATGTCTTAGCGCGATATACGCGTAAATAGCAACGATATTATCACATGTTTTGAATAATAATTATATTCTTACAACAATTAAACCTAAACTTAATCGAACAGCATTAAAATAACGGTTTATTCGTACCTGGTGAAGGAATTGCATGCTGCATCATGTAGGCGAAATCAAATCGCGCGTCGAAAAATTGGCTCAAGATACTATAAGCGCATCACAACTTTTACGAGACGAAACTTTAACGTAGATAAATACGTTGACATACGATCTTCAGCGAGCGTTGGGTCAGGTCCTGGGTACAAATTAGCCGATAGCTTTTAAATTCTGTATAATAAAATAACAAAAGTACCAAAACCTCGGCCATTTTTCAACCCCGTCGCTCATGATGGAGTAAATTTTGGAACTTACCGTTATCCTCACTGGTCTTGCATATTTCTTGTTCCATATTTTGACCTAAATGCAGACAATGTCCTTTTTTCGAACATGTTCTATTTCGCTCCCTCGTTACTTTTGCATCTGCGCCGATGCAAACACTCCATTGACTCCAGGGCAGATAGGAACCTTATTTAAAAAATGGTCAACTTAAATCTTGTTATATGCATAATAATATTTCAAATCTTCAGTTTGATAATAATGAAAGAAACCTACCACATGTTTCATTGTTAAGAAAGCCAGGTTTGATGCGACCTTCACAATCTGTGCACGATGAGTTGTCTCCTCCACAATCACCACAAAAATCTACTTTCTTTCCGCTGTTCTCGACTCCATCACAACCAAAGAAAATCCGCTTCGCAACTGAAAAACATTTTTGACCTTTTACCGAGGATTTGCATTATTGGGATTGGGTTAGCTGTATAGGGGTTATACGGTCTACCGAATCGTTTTAAAAATAATATTAATAATTACAAAAAATATTAAGGGCTCTCCGCGAATAAATCCTTCTCGTTCGTAAGAAAAAGCCTTGCTTCTCCTCCTTAATTTCGGATCAAGGATTTTGGCTCTCGCAAGAAGGCCATTTATACCAAGTTACAACTATTATACATACATGGTATTAAAGAGACCCTGTGGGAGAACACAAGCTAGAAACTAGGAAGTATGATAAAATATGCATATCTATACAGAGTACCATGTAGATATAATTTAGTAAAATCCGCCCTCACCATTTTTTTATGTCTACTGTCATTAAAATCGTAAATATAACCGGACTAAACCAGAGAGCAATTATGAAAGTCAACAGCCTTATAAGGCAATAGCCTTTCCAGCTCTCCAGCTCGTTTGGAGTAGACAAAAGTCTTTCCTAATCTTCCCCTACCACAGGAAAGGGGCGATTTTGACGCTTATGAAATATTTTTGTAGTATATATTCTTAAACAACATTCAAAATCACCAACTTTTTACCATTCGCAAGTTTAATTGATTACCGTAAAATTTTTCCCTAGATAAACTTATGTCCAAGTTTGAGCTATTGCAAACACTGTTACACGCTGCAATTTTTTCATGCAACTCGCAATACAATTCTACTTTTGAAATTAGTGAATTTGGCAACTAAGAAATTGTTGTGTTTATTACATTTACATTTTGAAGATTTTAATTTACATCTTCCGAAAGTAGAATTGCATATAGAACTGAATTTTGTATGTAAAAAATTTGCACCATGTAACATGCATGGTTTTTTTTCTCACCAAGTTTCGACGCATTTGTTCGTTTCTGTATTTCATTAAAGGATTCCAACGTCGCCTCACCAATATCTCTTTTACCAGTTACAGCAATATCGTACAAACATTCCTCATTCGCCCCGCATACACTCCTTGCTTCTTGCTCCAAAGTAAAACTCGAAAACAATGAGTTTGTCTCGTCAAGAAAGGCCGGAATGAAGTTGGGAGTAAAATAACTGTCGTAACTTTTTCCGACATGGTACGCGAAAAGAGTCTTGCTTCTGTCCACAATCCCTGTATAAATTGAAGAAATATTGACACGCCTCTATACTTTCATCCATGAAATTTGCAATAACTTTTATAGGTACAACCAATGTTTCTTTGAAAAGTAGTGAAATTGATTGTTGTTTGTTTCTTTGGCAAATACAATAATTTGGGGCATATCATCTTGTGCCGAAGGCAGGTTATTCAACGACCGCTACCTTAATGTGATTAAAAAGATTCAAGCAGTACAACTAATTTTACGTATTCAGGAAAATGGATAGATGGAATGAGACATTATTACACCTTGACAACTTGTTTAGATATACGTATAGCTAATGACACATTGATTACACATTTTTAAAGAGGAACATTGGGTGTGGTTAATAGCGAGAATTGATTACGTATTTATACATAAAGGTTTAAGGGTCTTAATTTCGAGTGGAATTATACACACTTCAAATTCAAGCCAGGAACAGATGATGGAAAATTTAGTCAACTATGGATCCTCCGGCAGGAATCGAACCTACGTTTTTGCGATACCGGTGCAATCGAGTGATTAGGGAGGTTAAGATCGGCTTCCGCTACGAGTACCGATACCAATAATCAGTCGCGCGCATGCGCAGATGTAACAATCGTCCAAAATGTGACAACACTGGAATCGCGAGTACCGTTTTGGGGCTGAAAATGGAAGTGAATAGGTAGGCGAAGTACTGAAATATATTTACTGTATTATTGTCATTTTCTGCAGTAGTTTTCTAATAATATTATTTAGGTTTTAGTTGTATAATGTTTCTGCTTTGTTTGGTGAGACTTAAGGATTGTGATTAGAGTTTTTGATGTGAATACAGCCGCTATACTCAGCCATGTTTATTTACTTCTTACGGAAGTCACAATCTTAACGCTTTAAAATTTCCGCACTGCCAAACTGTAATACGTCATGTATCTTCGTATCGGTACTGGTAGTGGAAGTAGATCTTAACCTCCCTATTACCTGCATCGAGTGCAGTTCCAAAAATCATAATCTATTTATATATAGGTCAACGTTAATTAGTGTAAAATACACTTGTTCAATTTTCTATTCTATGCATTGCATTTTTTCTATGCTGATTGGTCTATGCCTTGGGAATATGTCGATGCCTTTCTGATGGTGATAAATCACGGAAAATGTTCAACTCATAGTTTTAACCCAATAATTAGTTCCACCAATAATGAGGTACGAGAAAACAACCACTTCAGAATTGATAACTTACATTTCTGGCCAAACTCGTGGTGAATTGTTCGATAACTTGAATTTGTATCAATGAAACTGCCATCAGGCAATAAAAATTCTAGATCTTTGTCATCGTTCCAAAATCCAAGAAGACCAGCAGTTCTTCCTAACAAAGGGCGAATGTTCACTCTTTTTGATACATGTTAAAAAATAGGTATGCGAAATAACGAGGGGTAGGAAACGCAATGTTATGAGAAAAGGAGGTTCAATGGAATTGAGCCAATATAATATACCGTAAGTTTGATTTTTCTATAAGTAGACTTCACACAATGACTAAAAATCTTATGAGCGGTTTTTATGCTAAAATTTTCAACCTTATTCTTGGAAATTCTCACTATTTTTTAATCATTTTTTTTTCATAAGCCTTCGCATTTTGACCCAGCAAAACCGAGGATGCGCTGACAAATGTATGCCCCCACATTCCTCAGGCGAAAGCATTCGGATTAATTAACCATTAATTTTTTGTCTCCCTTATCATTATACGAGCGAAGGAAATGGACTGGAAATAATACATAATTATAGTTTACTCAACAAAGCAACTCTTGTATTAACATATCGCTTAGAGGAGTGGTGAAATTTAGTCGATACGTCCCTGATTCCTTTAAAACAAACCCATACGATTTTTTATTACTAAGATGAAACCTGTTGTTACCTTTGAATCTTAATGGTACTGAAATTTGATAAGTAAGAAAATCTTCTACAGATGTGACCACAATAGCTACTCCTGATGCGAAGTATGTACCAAATTTTGACTGATTTTGTTTAACAATGAAGACACCAGTGAAGTCTAATCTTGTTTGTTCATCAAATTCGACACGTTCACCATTGACTAACACGTCTATGCTGCGCCGTCTGTTAAACTCGAACTAAAGTGAAACATCGAAAAATATAATCAATATATCTTCACGAAAAGCATATAATTAAATACAAATGGTGGACAAATTTAAAAAAGATTGAATATTTAAATATTGGTCAATCTGCATTCATTTAGCAAGTCAACAAAATCTCTCGCTAAAAACTTCTAAGCTATAAATAAGCAGTTTTCAATCGCAACGTTTACATTAAATCAATTGCGCTTAAAAAACCTAGCCTATTCTTACGTTAGGTACAAACATATGCAATATTTTAACTCTCAAATTTGATAATCTGGCAACAATAAAGATTGTGCTTGTATGTTTTGTGAAAACAAGATGGGTCGGGGAGAAGTGTTGACGCGTTTGTTGAAATCTTCTTCCGGATTCGCCGAAAAATAATGTAACTATGATATATAGTAATCATTTCTAGAGAATTTTGCACCCGTGCATGCTAAGTAAACGAACTTCAGCATAAAGCAATACTGTTGATCACGAAAAAATGAAAAATGTAACGTTATAAGTTTTATATATAATTAATTTATTTTACATTTACTTTTAGAAAGTTTAGAGATTTTAATATCTATAGCAACCAGCTTACTAAAATAACAAAAACCCTAAGATCGCGTCTCAGTCTTATAATTGTATCAGTGTATAACGTTAGTATGGCTACATGCCAAATATAAACGAATTCCATGATAATAAAGCCAGCGGCGGATCTAGCGTTAGGCAGTATAAATTAAAGCGCTTAATTTTAAATTCAAAATACCTTAATAACAATGCAATTAATTGGTCATGGATTTCTAAAGAATATTTTATAATAAAAATCTAATAATGAGATTACGATTTTGAGCTGTAGTAATTTGCTCTGTCTAAAGGCTGCTCTCTACTTACACGTTTTTTATACGCAAGTACACGTACGTACGGAAATTTTAAATGCTTTTAAATTTTTATCATATTTAACATCTAGGTAAGTTAACGCATACTAAAATATGCAGAAAACTAAGTTCCTTCGATTTATTCACTTAGTTTTTTAAAAGATAACATGTATAAGGATTTAGACTTTTACATGCATGTACGCAGTGGCGTAGCCAGCCTGACAATTTAGTCATGCTATGCTAATATTTTGGTGTTCATCGACTGTGAAAACAATGAATTTCTAAAGAAATGAATAATGATAATAACATCAAATTTGCATAGCATGACTAAATCGTCAGGCTGGCTACGCCACTGCGTGTACGTGCGTATAAAAAGCACCTAAGTGGAAGGCAGCCTTAACCCTGAATCCACACCTGGATAAAGCAACAAAGTTCGATGAATATAAGTTAAAAGATCATTATGGCGTCGTAGTTTTTTTTCAAATTACTTTTGTTTTTAGAACCCTTCTGACCTTTCGTAATTAATAACAACCAGTTTACTAAACTTGCGTAAAAAAACAAAATCGTGTTTCAATCTCATAATTGTAATATTAATGTGCACAAACCTGCACCGTATCACTCGTTGCTCCCTTGATGACAAATGCTGTGAGGGCTGTTGCTCTTGTTGTTCGTCCGTGGTCATCAAGTATGGGTACCATTCTTCCTTGAAACTCGAGATCCAAGCCATTGTTGACTTTGAGAAGGACGTATTCACCATAACCGTTGAATGTGTAGAACGTTCCGTCAAATGTGGATAAATGAGGATCACCTCTGGTACCAGCTAAATATTTGCAACAAAATTCCCAAAATTGTCAGTCATTGAATATTTCGTTTCACCGCAATTAATTACCAGCAAGATGTTTGGATTCGCTATTGTGTCTCGTGCCCTATGGCTATTTGGCAAAAGGAGGAAATCTTGCTTTGGCTTCCAGACGTTTTCTTCTGATTATTAAAAGTATGGAATCGCTGTTGCGTTGTTTTTCGGATAATTATTTTACTTATAATTTTTGTTAAGCACACAACTTGTCAAAAAAAATTTAAAAAATAAATCTACCAGTTGGTTGAGGTATGAATCTTGAACCATCATCGGAAGGTCTTCCATCATAGTATTTACCACAGTTGTCAAAGAAAGAAAGTTTACAGCATGCTAACCAAGGTAGCACATCTCGGCTTAGGTGACCCAGAAGGCTCTTTTCTGGAAATACGATGTCAAATGTACCACCACCAGGAGGTCCAACCAACAGTGAATCACCTTTATAACAACATTGTTGACCTGAACCTGATGCACTAAAAGAAAAATGTTTTTTATAAGCATATGAATAACTGAAATTAGTATAATTACAAAGGTGATTATTTAAAATGGTGGCTCTGATTGGTCGAGTGACCTCGGATTATTACGTGATAATTACCTAAGCGGATTTTAAAAATGGCAGCCAGTCTGCCAAAGTGACAGACAAGGCCATGCTTTATTTTAATTTACCTTACCTGAAAGTACAAAAGAAGTGGAAAAATTAAGCCTAAAATTATTTTTAAGGCAAAAAATTATTTTGTAGAACGCTTTCAACTTTATTTTGCGAAAGTATTGTTTTATTTCAATTGCCGTAAAACTTTCCAGATACTTCTTTAGGTTTGTGAAAGATGAATTTTCTACAACAGATTGGCTTTCTCAATAAATTCTTCTCGATTTTTATTCCGCAATTTTCACCTCGCCTATATTCTGATAATATTTCAAACAAATTTCGGTAAGCATGCTTTTACATTTATCGATTTCAATTTAACGATGCAGACACGTTAGATAGGAAATTACATACCGAATGGCACCAAATAGTGCGAAGTATGCAGATTTGTCTAGCGAATAGCCAATTAATTTTAATTTTATTCTTGCAGTAATGCAGTTATATTTACTAATTCTATTTTTGTGGACAATGGACGTTAGACCATCTTGCTAGCTTGCGCATGCGCGACATATATGAAGGAGTAAAGAGTGTGATTATTATTATTATTATTATTATTATTATTATTATTATTATTATTATTATTATTATTATTATTATTATTATTATTATTATTATAATTATTATTATTATTATTATTATTATTATTATTATTATTATTATTATTATTATTATTATTATTTATTTTATTATTATTATTTTATTATTATATTATTATTATTATTATTATTATTATTATATTATTATTATTATTATTATTATTATTATTATATTATTTTATTATTATTATTATATTATTATTTTATTATTATTATTATTTTATTTTTTTTATTATTATTATATTATTATTATTATTATTATATTATTATATTATTATTATATTATTATTATTATTATTATATTATTATTATTATTATTAATTTATTATTATTATTATTATTATTATATTTAACCAGGATACCCACATCACCTTATAGTGTTTTTCAGTGGGGTCCTGCATGATACAATCATATTACTAATATAATAATTTAAACGTAACTTCTATCATATAATTATACAATTTTAAAATACCACATAACAACATATGAATAAATGTTCTACGTTTTCTAATAATCATAGACATAGACATACACATACATTAAAAAGGACAAGGACAACGACGTGGACATGGACATAGACATAGACAAACAAAAAACATATTGAGACATGCAATTAACAATATTTATATATAGTGTGTCAGTGAATGTCACTTCAGGGACGACTTAAAATGACTCAGAGAGATAGAGTTTCTGATGGAATCGTTCAAGTTGTTGAATTCTTTAGAAGCTTGGTATGTAGGTTTATGTTTACCCCAGTTAGTGTTGACTTTCGGAAGATGAAGGTTGTTACACGACCTTGTGTTGTGGGAATGGACGCTTCTGTTGGTTCTTAGGTTGAAGCCGAAATCGATCAGTCCATTGGTGCATTTGTATATGAAGATACATCGATGTTTATATCTGCGAGAAGAGAGTGTTGACCAGTGTAATGTAGCGAGTGCTTCTGTTGCTGACGAAAGAGGAGGGAGGTCTAGAATCAATTTAGCTGCTTTATTTTCCAGGGTTTGTAGGGAATTCATAAGCTCAGAATTGTTTTTATCGCCCCATATTATATCAGCATAGTCGAATAGTGGTAAAATTGCCGAGGTATAGAAAATTTTTATAATAACTTGTAGGTACACCACGTAAGTATTAAATACTGCAAAGCTTTCGGTCCGTTAACCCGGACCTTCATCAGTGCAATTACTTGAATACACGTTTGCGCGTCACTTAAATATCATGTTAGTCGTGATTAGTTTGCTCGCGCTATTAATTAAACGGTTTCATTTAATTAAGTTCTAATTAATGCGCGCG